TTTTGTAAACTTCAACCCAAAAGTGTTTCAATGGTTTGTAATATCATTTTTTGTCTGTCTATTGTCTGATGAGTCAAGTGTCAACTCAAATGACTGATAAAACCATTGACCGTTTATAGGGGTGTAAGGCATAAATGCATTGAAATCATAGGGAAACCACTCAAAACCATAGATTATTTTCATATATTTTTTAGATTGTAGTTTATGAGATCACGTTGAATGTTTTTATGAGATGTTTCTATAAAAGAAGTTGCACTGTACAACAATAGTTATAATATACACTTAATTATATAAAGGTATAATAACACCTTTATATCGGGTGTACATTATTGAACTAGACCATTACGAAGTCGAATATCTCGAAAAGTATTCAGTCTAGAAAATTAAATAATATATCAAAATAATCATCAACTGCGGGAGTTTTTGTTATGATATGGTCAATATGCTTGCCCTCTTATTATAAAAGTAATCTCAAAACTACCAAATTTTTGTCATTTTGTCCATAGACATAATGTTAAATTCAAACTTATTTTTGAGCAAAATCCTGAAATAGGTATCAAGTTATTTTTGCTCTTGTTTAAGAATATGTAATCAAAATTATTGTGCTGCATGTAGATTTTAGTTAATTAATTATTTTTAAATATTTCAGATAAATAAGATTGTTTCAAAACTTTTGCATGTTAGATTTTGATCANAGTTAATTAATTATTTTTAAATATTTCAGATAAATAAGATTGTTTCAAAACTTTTGCATGTTAGATTTTGATCACCATTTGGGAACAGCTGAAGTGACAATATTGTCACTTCACACATATATAGTTCCATGACCGGAAATATTTTTCACATACAAATATTTTTGGTCACGTGACTATATTATGGTTAAAATGGACCATTAACGAGACTGTGGACAAAATGGCATAAATTTGGTAGTTTTGAGATTACTTCTATAATAGGAGGTCGAGCATATTGACCATATCATAACAAAAACTCCCGCAGTTGATGATTATTTTGATATATTATTTAGTTTTCTAGACCGAATACTTTACGAGATATTTGACTTCGTAATGGTCTAGTCCAATAATGTACACCCTGTATATAACACCATGGTAATTATCGCAATCATTAACACCACACCCCAAATTATTATTATTACTAAACTATTGTTATACAAAAACAAGTATTAGTGAAAAACAATGAATTATTTAATTTATTTATTATAAAAAATAAAATGAAATTAATCAATTAATCAATATAATTATTAATGAAAAGTTTAGTAATAATCAACAAATATTTAATATGTCTGATACGGTACCTGTTCAGCATGGTAGAACCACCGACCCTACATCATCAACAAATCCCAAGTGAGCTTAATATGCTAATTTTTAATTGATTAATTATTTGCTTACACCTGTTTATACTGTATGTGTTTATAATTAAACAGACCAAAGCATAACGAACCCATATATGCAACTGTAAACAAGAATATGCGATCAAATGTAGTGCCAGCAATGAATTGTGAAGAAGTATCAAGGGTAATTTTATAAAATAAACAAATAAAATAATTATTACTATGCGACTTTATATTATAGTGCAAATAGTTTTTAAAATTTATAATTTGTATTAATAATTTTGAATCTTTATAGAAAAAAGAGATAACAATAGTATTGTTGGGAGAGTCAGGTGTGGGAAAGTCCACATTCATTAACGCTTTGGTCAACTATTTGTCGTATGAAAGTCTGGATGCAGCCAATGGTCAGCCCATATGTATAATCCCTATTAGTTTTACATTAACTAATCCAACGACATGGGAACCTGTGAAAGTGACACTGGGTGAACACGATATGAATGAAAACACTGATGATCCGACTAAATCTGCCACACAATACCCCAAATGCTATAAATTTGAAGATAATAATATTGTGGTCAATATTATTGATACGCCGGGCATTGGAGATACGGCTGGTATGGATCAGGACAATAGAAATATGCAAAATATATTAGACTTTATAAGTAATTATCGGGAAATCAATGCGTTTTGTGTACTCTTAAAGCCTAATGAAGCGAGACTTGATGTTCTCTTTAAGTATTGTTTGTTTCAATTGTTCACTCATTTGAATAAAAGCGCCGCAAATAATATAATATTTCTGTTCACAAACTCGCGGAGCACTCATTACATGCCCGGGGATTCCGGTCCGGCATTAATGAGTATATTAGAGCAAATAAGGGAAAGACCACCAAATGTTGACATTCCTTATAACGAGAATACAATCTATTGTTTCGATTCCGAGTCATTTCGATATCTCGTGGCTTCGGTTCCGCCAAATAATATTGAATTTGATTCAAGATTTAAATCTACATATATTGAAAGTTGGGACAGGTATGTGCTAATAGTACAGTACTATCACTAAATAATAATCAAACCAACCATAATATTTTTATTTAATTTATTTAATATTTTGTAAAATTAATTAAATATTTGTTTTTAATATTTTCTGTTTCTATAATTAATATTATTTTATAGTAAATATTTTTATAACAGTTTATTGTTATAATATAAAATTTTATTAAATGTTAATAAAAATTATATTTTTAATATTAGATCCGCAAAAGAATGTCAGCGTTTATTTGAGTACATATTACAACTCACACCACATAAAGTGATGGACACCTTATCCCTCAATAACGCCAAACAAATCATACAATTATTAATCAAACCGTTGGCCGACATTACGAAGAATATCGCGGATAACGTAAAGCAATGCGAAACACATAAACGTCGCATCAAAGCTGAACCGGGAATTGTCACTAAACAAAATATACCTGTTATTAATTTACAATATATCCCTTTATCCACACCAATGACAGTATGTAATGATGTTGGTTGTATTAAAACGATCCCGATTGAAGGCAAGACCACGCCCTTCACTGATCACCGTAAACCATGCCACTCACCATGTTACCTTCATTTTACCGATGGTAATATTGTTGGCAATAAGGGTTTATTAAGCTGTCGTGCGTTCAACAAACATAGCAGCAAAGATCATGATCCTAATAAGAATAAAACAGTTAGTGGCTTTGTTACAATACCAGCTAGTAAGATACTGGCGAAGCTTCATCAAGTTACACCAGGGTCAGAGTTTTGTCGAGCATGCAACCATAGTTATAAATATCATTTAAACATAACTTATTTCACTAAGAATGAGCCAAAGACAGTGCCCGCACACCACAATACAACTCGGGTAAAGTCGGTGGCGTTGACCGCAACCGCAGCCAACGGTCAAGAGCTAGAAATGCATGGTTTGGACGAACGGATCGCCGAATTAAACGCCGAAAGCGAGACAATCATTAACTCTATGGCAATGTTTGCCTGTTTTCTGGTCAACAATGCGTTGACCGCCTGTCCGGACGCTTTCGACGACTACGTCCGGCATTTGGTGGACAGTCAAGCGGACGGTACGGACGCCGACAGTAGGGCCACAATCGACCGGTTGGAGCAGTTATTAAATAATTATCGTCATAAAAAACAAACGATTATTGATAACCTGCCGGACGGGGCTGTCATTACAGCTGAGAATGTTAATGAATGTGTTGAAAAACTGTCCATGATGACAATTAACGGCCATCTATTTCGCACAATGCTAAATACTGAACTTCAGACTAAAGTGAAAAACCACGTGGTACATAATGAGATAATTTATAATGCCCTGCCCAATACGAGTTACAGCTTAAGCAAGTTGTTTTGCAATGAATAAAGTAAGAGTAGTTGTATATTTTAAATAACGAACTTAATTAAGACTTTTCATTATATTTTCAGAGTGTATGCCAGGCATCAAAAAGACTGCATTTTTACCTGATATTGAAATTATACTAATAAAGTTAAATATTATTATTTTGTGTATTATTTACGATAACAATTTTGCAATTAATAATATTTCTTTGTAATTGCAATATAAAGTATATTTCAATAAGATCAACTATAATTGAGCGTAATTAAGTTAATTTTGTTATAATAAACAAGGTAATAGTTTTGTATTATATAATTTAACAATTAACTAACTTTATTTTATTGAATTATATAGTTATATATTTGTTGTATAAAGAGCCTAACTTTATAAAACTAACTACTTATGATATAATATATCAATAAATAAAAATGTAGAACTCATAGAAAAGTATTAATGTACGTATTTCTAAAATAGTTATGAATTCTATTAAGAAATAACATCAAAACACTACTACTATTACTATGGCTATTATCAAAGAATATAAAACAATCGATACAATTTAATTCACGTATCAAAATATTTTAACTGATTTATGCAGTTATTATGAAATGGTTGACATTATAATGTTATAAAAGCTATAACCCATTGTATATTTAATAAAATAAATATATTACATCTATTCCTATGTGTATTGCTATTTTAAACATCTTTTTTAATATCAATGTACACATTTAATAATAACATTTTTGCTGTGCTTGTAATTTAATTATAATAATATATTAATTTAATTAATTATTTATTTGTATCAACAAATTAAGAACCGTTCAATTTTAAATAACTGAATACCACATAACCTATTATTAATATTGTTTAAAATGTCGGGTGAAGGTTATTATAACAACACTTTCAGCATCATCTCAAACATAGGTTCGGGTGGTTTTGGGACTGTATTCAAAGTAAGGCATAAAATTGATGATAAGGTATATGCCGTTAAAAGGGTAGAGTATAATGAAGGTAAAGATAATAAACTTTTGCAAAATATATTGCAATATACTGTACATTACTGTTTTGAAAAAATTCCAGATTTTACTGATGATAAAAAACGTCGAATTCGCAAAGAAGTGACAATTATTTCAAATTTAAACTCAAATTTTGTCGTAAAATACATCAATTCATGGCCTGAAGGTAACCATATGTACATTCAAATGGAATTGTGCGCTCATAGTGTTAGCACAATCATCAAAACCAAACCCATTGTCTTCGGGAGAGAATTGGGAGAAACGATGAATATATTTGAATATTTTATATCATGTGAAATATTTAAGGAAATTCTAGAATGCGTTCAGTATTTGCATGAAAACAAACCACCGATTATTCATCGGGATCTCAAACCCGACAATATTTTAATTGTCGAAAATATTAATAATAATCGGTTTTTAAAATTATGTGACTTTGGTTTGGCAACACATCACGACATGCCTTCCATGAGCCACACGGCAGGGGTCGGCACTGACCAATATATGGCCATTGAGGCGAAACAGGGCCGGTATACCAACAAAACAGACATCTTTAGTGTGGGAATTATTGCAATGCATTTGTTTGATATATTTCATATGTAAGGCATTTGTAAAGCAATGTTAACAATTATTGTAATTAATTATCTTGATGTTATTTTATTAGTGAAAATGCATTGGAAAAATACAGTTTTACCACATTTTCAGACAATTTTAAAAATATTTTTTCTATTATGGGATCAATGGCCGAGTGTTTAGCCGACAATCGACCGACAAGTTGTTCAATACTACAGAATTATAATATCTGGTCTATCGATAAAACTGTTATCACTAATCATAACGAATTCGATGGATTTGTAAATACACTTAATTCTACAGATATGTCATTTTTCTATAATTTTTTAATGTGCAAATTTAATGATATTATTGTGAACCCTATTTGTGATAATACCATCAATACAAGTGATGCAAAACTTCGATCATCTACTCGTCAATCATCAATTAGCATATCTGATAGATCTAATCGTCCAATGCTTCCACCTAAACCGAAGTAAATATATTCAATTATAAAATACCTCGATTTTTTCATTTATTCACTGTATCATAATATATTTAATTAAATTTTAGCATTTGTGTCACACAAATTATATATTTATATAAATTACAATTGTATAGTCATAACTTAGTTTTGTGCTTACAGCAGTTTCCTATTTATATTGTATTTTACTATATTTTAAATGATTACCTAGCTATGCTGTACTTTAACCATTATTTTTATATTAGGATTAAAATAGAAGTCCAAACTAGTTCAGACGAGCCTTCAAATGGTAATATAATGTATTGAGTTTAATTATTATGACATTATAATTATAAATATATAAAAATTAAAAGTAACGGACAATGTGCATTTGCATCCGGTGGCACACCCAAGACGTAATACATTGAACACAACGGCAAAGCGCCGTATGGGTGATGCAGACCATTGTCCGGATTCGCATCCAAAAACAGTAGTAGAATATAATAAGTTTAATGAAACATCACGTGTAATTATAAAATTTCTAATATATTAATTAGTTTTATATTTGTAAAATTGTCATTACTTTTAAATGCAGAAAAAAGATATCACAATAGTATTGTTGGGACAGACAGGTGTAGGAAAGTCCACATTCATTAACGCATTGGTTAACTATCTATCCTTTGAGACAATGGATGCGGCGAACGGACGGCCCATATGTTTAATACCCATAAGCTTTACTATAGCGGACCCCACGACTAGAGAACCGCTGACAGTATCGCTGGGTGACCAGGATCAAACACAGGAACAGATTAAGGACACTACCAAATCGGTCACACAATACCCCATGTGTTATAAATTTGAAGATGATAATATTGTACTCAATATAATCGATACGCCGGGAATTGCGGACACGGATGGTGTGGATAAAGATAATAGAAATATGAAAAATATTTTAGATTTTATTAGCAATTATCGAGAAATTAATGCTTATTGTGTACTCATAAAATCTAACGAAACCAGAGTTAGCTTTGCGTTCAAGGATTGTTTGCTTCAATTGTTCACTCATTTGAATAAAAGCGCCGCAAATAATATACTATTTCTATTCACAAACTCCCGGAGCACTCATTACATGCCCGGGGAATCCGGTCTCGAATTAATTAATATTTTGAAGAAAATCAGGAAAAGTCCATCAAATGTTGAAATACTTTATAATTATAAGACAACGTATTGTTTCGATTCCGATTCGTTTCGATATCTCGTGGCTACGAGTGCTCCAAATAATATACAGTATGACCTAAAACATAAATCTAGTTATGTTGAGAGTTGGGAAATGTATGTAAATTTTATATAATTTATAATTTTAAACACAAACTTTTTATTAAAATGTACACTCAAAGTCATTTACTATCCGAACCTGTTCCATCGGGCGCAGCTCTTGAACGGATCAACCGATTTTGGATCTCTCTTTACTATATTAAACAATAACTCCCCAACAGTAACCTCCGTAAATAGTTTTAACTTATTTCTCGAGTTATTCAAATTTGAATTTTTATCGAAAATTTTAAAAATGAATTTTTACAAATTTAACAAATCTAATCAACATTAGATTGTTTGCTTGTTAATATTATTATAGTTGTTTTAAAATTAAGTTGATAATTTTCGGATTTTTTGTCTTTGAAAATTATTTATAAATACAGATTGTCAAATAACTTGAAAAATATTCAAGATACAAAGATTTTAGTTTCATATTTGGAATCAGCATAACAAATAACATGAAATATGTTTAATAATTTTCCTTAAAAATAAGTTTCAATTTAACGTTATCTCTATGACAAAAATTGTAAAAATGAGTTTTCGTAAATATCTCTAAATTTTTAAAATAAATTAAAACCATTTACGGAAGTAACATTTAGGGAGTTTCTGTTTAATATAGTGAAGAGAGATCCGAAATCGGTTATTCCGTTCAAGAGCTGCGCCAGATGGAACAGGTTCGGATAGTAAATGACTTTGAGTGTATGGTAATATAAATATATATAATATATTTACATACTGTAGATCCATAAAAGAGTGTCAGCGCTTATTTGATTACATAATACAACTCACACCACACCAAGTAATGGACACACTATCGGTGAATAACGCCAAACAAAGCATACAATTACTAACCAAACCGTTGGCCGACATCACGAAGAATATCGCGGATAACGTTAAACAATGCCAAATACATAAACTTCGGATCGTAGAGCAAATGTCAAACACGGGTCGTAAACCACAGTCTACGCCAACAATTGAATTAGTATACACACCGTTACGCCATCCCAAACTTGTTTGCACTAATACCCAATGCTCTACTATTACGGTGATTGACGGTATTTCAAAAAATAATTACCCCACCCCGTGCCATTCACCATGCTACCTCGATTTTAACGATTGTAATATTGTGGGAAATAAAGCTGTACTACAATGCCGTGCATTCAATAAATACAGCAACAAAGATCGCGAGTTTAAAGATTCAAATAGTAACTCAGTTACCAAGGTTTTTGGTAATACGTTGAGTAAGATTACCAAGTCCGAGTTTTGTCATAAATGTGGTCATAGTTACCGAGAGCATTTAGGTCTAACGTACGAGACTATTGAACAGCATACAACAATCCCTGCTGATACCGATATCTCTACCGTTGGTCTGCAGACACAGATACAACGTCTGGACCGACGGATCGCCGAATTAAACGCAGAAAGCGAGACAATCATTAACTCTATGGCAATATTTGCCTGCTTTTTGGCCAACAATACGTTGACCGCCTGTCCGGACGCCTTCGACGACTACGTCCGGCACTTGATGTCGAGTCAACCGTACGGTACGGATCCCGACAGACGGGGCACAATCAACCCGTTCGAGCAGTTATTAAATAATTATCGACATGAAAAACAAACGATTATCAATAATCTGCAGAACGGGGCTGTGATAACCGCCGAGAATGTTAATGAATGTGTTGAAAAATTGTCCATGATGAAAATTAACGGCCCTATTTTTCGCAAAATGCTAAGCAATGAACTACAATGTAGTACAAACTAAAGTAAAAAATCACAGGGTACATAATGAAATAATTTATAATGCCCTACCTAATACGAGTTATAGTTTGAGCAAGTTGTTTTGCGATGAATAAAGTAAGAATAGTCGTATATATTTGAATAGAAAACTTAATTAAGACTTTTACTATTAGACATTTACCATTGATTTATTGATATGATATATAATTTCGATGTTGATTTTAATGCTGATTAATAATATCAAATTGCTTTCAAAATTAAATGTATAATTTTCGAACTATTCGACTTTAAAATATTAAAATTTGAATAACTTTAAAAATATTTAATGTAGAACATTGGAAATTTAGAATTCGGAATCGGCGTCAGATTCTACATCGAAATCATATATCATATCAATAAATTACGTCATTTTAAAATTTTCGATTAAAAATATTCTAAGTCGAATAACTCGAAAAATATTTGAAATACAATATTTTGGATTTCAGATTCGAACTCAGCAATGAATTCTACATTAAGTACATATATAAAACATACATGTAACATTTATCGACGGTGACGGTGAGGGTGACGGGTAAAAGAGTGCTTCCCGTACATTTACATTGTAGTAAAAATATAGTAAAAAAATTGATGGGATTAGCCATAAGCGCAACACTGCCAACGCTAGAGAGTTGTGAAATCGTGAAGTGAAGCGTGAAACCGGATTTCACTCAATTAGTTACACACCAGTCAAATTCAAACACACTATGTGTCCACATATTAGAAATTTTTAAGTTAAGACAAAAAATTATTTCAATTATTTTATTTTATTAATTACGAGCCGTAATTTCGGGCTACGGCTAGTTAATTAGATTTATTTGTAATTGCAATACAAAGTATTTTATTTAAATAAGATAACTGTAAATAAACGTAAATTAAAGTTAATTTTTTAAAAATAAACAATGTAATAGTTTTGTATTATATAATTTAACTAATAACTAATTTATTTAATTGTTTAATTATATATTTGTTGTATAGAAAGCCTAACTTTAGAAAAATAATTATTTATGATATACTATATCATAGATATCCAGTCATCCAAAAACTAGTCGCCTTGTCTTTTGTTATATCTCCCGAACGGAACTATCTAGATCAATTCTGTAAACTGTAAAACAGAGTTCCACATGTCTAGTTTTTTCTATCAAAAAATTATTGAAATCACGTGACTAGAACTTAGAAATTTTTGGGTCATTTTGAAATGCCATGGTTTTAGCTCAGATGAAAGGGGGATCGGAAAAGGGGCGGGTATGCTATTTGGAAGAGGAGATGTCATAGTCAATGATAGCAAAGTTTGATAAAGATTAGTCTAGCCTTCTACGAGAAATTGCTAATTTTATTAACATTAGGTCTATGGGGAAAAATGGTTCTGAAGTCGACTTTTTATAACAACAAAAATGTAGTATAAAAAGGTCAAAATTTGGCCATTTTTGTCCAAATATTGTGTCAAATTTCTTGAATATTTTGTTCGCTACGAAAAAATATCCATTCGATGTTTATGAAACTTTTATATCATAGTGACTTACATCTCACATACCCGCCCCTTCCGACCCCCCTTTCAACTAGGTTAAAACAATGGCATTTCGAAATGACCCAAAAATTTCTGTTTTAGTTACGTGATTTCAATAATTGTTTGATACAAAAAACTAGACACGTGGATCTCTGTTTAACAGTTTACAGAATTGATCTAGCTCGTTCCGTTCGGGAGATATAACAAAAGGCGAGGCAACAATAGTTTTTGGATGACTTAATAATCACGTAGAAATCACAAAAAATTATTATATAAATGTTTCTGAAATAGTTATGACTTATATTAAGAAATAACATCAAAACACTAATACTATTAACTATTACTATAGCTATTATCAAAGAATATAAAATAATCTATACATTATTTAATTCAAGTATCAAAATATTTAAACTGATTTATGCATTTAATATGAAATGGTTGACATTATAATGTTATACACGTCATAACTTTTTGTATATATTATAAAATAAATATTTTACAATCTATTTTAATTTGTATTTTTATTTTAAATAAAGTTTATCTCTTTTAATGTCAATGAAAACATTTATAATAACATTGTTTCTGTGTTTGTCATTATATTTTAATAAGTTATTTAATAAATTAATTAATCATTTCTGTGAACAAATTAAGAACCATTGGTTCATATTATTAATCATTGAATACTATATAACTTATTATTAATATTAAGCAATAGTTTAAAATGTCGGGTGAAAGTCATTATAACAACACTTTCACCATCATCTCAAACATAGGTTCGGGTGGTTTTGGAACTGTATTCAAAGTACAGCATAGATTAGATGATAAGATTTACGCAATTAAAAGAGTAGAGTATAATGAAGGTAAATATAATTAACTTTATTTGCATTAATATAAAAATATAAATAAATGTTTTAAAAATATTTTTCGCAGATTTTACTGAAGACAAAAAACGTCGAGTTGTGAAAGAAGTGAAAATTATTTCAAATTTGAACTCAAATTTTGTCGTAAAATACATCAACTCATGGCCGGAACCCAACCATCTGTACATTCAAATGGAATTATGCGCTCAAAGTCTTGAGTCTGTTATCAAAGCTAAACCCATTGTCTTCGGGCGAGAATTGGGAGAACCGATGAATATATTTGAATATTTTATATCATGTGAAATATTTAAAGAAATTTTAGAATGCGTTCAGTATTTGCACGAATCCAAACCACCGATCATTCATCGCGATCTTAAACCCGATAATATTTTAATTGTGGAAAATATTATTAATAATCGGTTTTTAAAACTATGTGACTTTGGTTTGGCCACACATCACGACATGCCGTCCATGAGCCACACGGCAGGGGTCGGCACTGACCAATATATGGCCATTGAGGCGAAACAGGGCCGGTATACCATCAAAACAGACATCTTTAGTGTGGGAATTATTGCAATGCATTTGTTTGATATATTTTATATGTAAGGCATTTGTAAAGCAATGTTACCAATTATTGTAATTAATTATCTTGATGTTATTTTATTAGTGAAAACGCATTGGAAAAATACAGTTTTACCACATTTTCAGACAATTTTAAAAATATATTTTCTATTATGGGGTCAATGGCTGAGTGTTTAGCCGACAACCGACCGACAAGTTGTCAAGTATTACAAAATTATAATAAATGGTCTATCGATAAGACTATTATCACTAATTATAATGAATTCGATGGAATTATAAATTCACTTAATTCTACAGATATGTTATTTTTCTATGACTTTTTAATGTGTAAATTAAATAATACTATTCTGAACCCTATTCGAGATAATAACATTTATACAAGTGATACAACACGTAGATCGTCCAATAGTCATTCATCAATTAGCATATCTGATAGATCTGTTCGTCCAATGCTTCCACCTAAACCTAAGTAAATACAATTGTATATTAAATTGAAAATTACCTTTATTTAGATTGATTACACAGCGATTATTTTACTACAGTATACTTTAACCCTACAATGGGTAGCAATAAAAAAATGCATTAAGGTTCATATATAACCAGTCATTTTTTTTAATTAAGCCCATTTAAACTTTAACTTCTATTTTGTATTAGGATTAAAATAGATGTCAAAACGAGTTCAGATGAGCCTCCAAATGGTAATAAAATGTATTGAATTTAATTGATATGACAGTATAATTATAATTATATTAATATGAAAAGTGACAGACCACGTGCATTCGCAACCGGTGCCAAACCCAAGACGTAATACATTTAAAACAATGGCAGAGCGCCGTATGGATGATGCAGACTATTGTCCGGATTTGCACCCAAATACAGTAGTAAGATATAATAAGTTTAATAAAACATCACGTGTAATTATAACATTTCTAAAATATCAATTAGTTTTATATTTGTGAAATTATAATGTTACTTCTAAATATAGAAAAAAGAGATCACAATAGTTTTGTTGGGAGCGTCAGGTGTGGGAAAGTCCACATTCATTAACGCAATCGTAAACTATATGTCTTTCGAGAGTATGGATGCGGCGAACGGACGGCCCATATGTTTAATGCCCGTCAGCTTTACTATAGTTGACCCCACGACTAAAGAACTACTGACAATAGCACTGAGTGACCAGGATCACACACTGGAACAGATTAAGGACACTACCAAATCTGTCACACAATACCCCATGTGTTATAAATTTGAAGATGATAATATTGTGCTCAATATAATCGATACGCCGGGAATTGCGGACACGGATGGTGTGGATAAAGATAATAGAAATATGAAAAATATTTTAGATTTTATTAGCAATTATCGAGAAATTAATGCTTTTTGTGTTCTCTTGAAGTCTAACGATATCGTATTTCAAGTTATGTTCAAGTATTGCATACTTGAATTTTTCACTCATTTGAATAAAAGCGCCGCAAATAATATACTATTTCTGTTCACAAACTCCCGGAGCACTCATTACATGCCCGGAGAATCGAGTGCCACATTAATGAGTATTTTGAAGCAAATCAGGGAAAGACCGCCAAATGTAAAAATACCTTATAATTTGAACACAACGTATTGTTTTGATTCCGAGTCATTTCGATATCTCGTGGCTTCGAGTCCTCCCAATAATATACAGTTTGACCCGAAACATAAAGATAGTTATGCTGAGAGTTGGGAAATGTATGGCAATTTTTAATAATTTTTAAATTTTAAACATGTTATACATTTTGATATAGATCTATGAAGGAATGTCAGCGCTTATTTGAGTACATAATACAACTCACACCACACAAAGTGATGGACACACTATCACTCAATAACGCCAAACATATCATACAATTACTAACCAAACCGTTGGCCGACATTACGAAGAATATCGCGGATAACGTTAAACAATGCAAAGAACATAGCGTTGAGATCAACGAGTTTTCGGGTACTATTGAAGAGCTAAGCCATAAGCTATACATACCATCGGTTGAGATAATAACAGTACCATTGGATCGACCAAAGACTGTGTGCAGTGATGGCGAGTGTTGTGAAGAGGAAATAATTAACGGGGTAACCGACATTACCTACACGCGCGAATGCCACTCACCATGCTACCTGAACAATTCTAGTAAAATAGGCAGTACGGAATTATTAAAATGTAAAGCATTTAACCAAAACAGTAACAACGATCTAGCGCCTGGCGAATCGAAACAATCGTGGTTGCGTCGAACATTTTCAGAACAAAAACCATCGGAACAATGCTTAATATGTGGACACAGTTACAAAAAGCATCTCACTTTGGTATATGAAACTAAGATGCATATTAACGATGTGACCGATCAGATGGTTCACAATGAGGTTAAATCCGTACAAATGGCCGCCGATCTAAAAGAGCGTCAGTTGCGAAGTCTCGACAAACGAGTCGCCGAATTGAACGCCGAAAGCGAGACAATCGTTCAGTCGATGTCAATGTTTGCCTGTTTTCTGGCCAACAATGCGTTGACGCCTATAAACGACGCGTTCGAGCAATACGTCCGACACCTTATAGACAACGAGCGGAAAGGGTTTACGACGTCCGACGCCGACAGTCGGGTCACAATCGAACGGCTCGAACAAATGATCGAACAATACAAGGATGAGAAAGCGTTGATTAAGTCAAAAATGAACGAACCCAATGTCGGTTCACCTGGCTTAATCACGTTGGCCGAAATAAACGCGTGCGTCGACAGATTGCGCATGCTCAAACATAAGGGTGGTGAAATTAGTAGAATGCTCGACAAACAGAGTCGGGCTAAAGTGAATCGAGAAGTACGTCAGAGCCAAGTGGATTGTAGCGCATTGCTTAATAACAGATTTAGCATAGATAAATTGTTTTTAAAAGACCATATTAGTTAACAAGTTTAAAACTTTAAATTGAATTCATGTTATTGAAACATGATAATTATACAAACTTAATTTTACTTGAAAAACAAAACTAATATTTTGCTATTTATTATATAATTAACTTGTAATTTAAAACAAAGTTTAATTGTACACTAGTGATCGAAATTATAGTGCCGGTGCCGCGGCACCAGTATAAAGTATACAGGCACTAAAACGGCACCGGTCCTGGTGGCAGCTGTTTACATGCTTATTTTTTCAATAGCTCACCATATAATTAATTCAAACAAATTAATATTAAATCAAGTGTTGTTGTTTTAAAAACACATAACAATAATACACAAAGCTTGCATTTCATATAGTGTTGTCCAAACGGTTAACCGTTCAAAGAATGGTTTGACCGTTAACCGATCGGTCAAAAATATCTTTGACTTTAACCTTAACCCCGGTTAACCAAGCTTAACCGGTTAACCGTTTTTCACCGGCTGACGTCATTATGCCCTAATATTTTTGTAAAATACCCTTATTTTTAAGATATTTTAAAAACATTTTAGGGTATTTTCTTACTTTTGGGGCTATTTTCCAAAAAGGACGTAACTCAAACTTGGTTATTAATGAATTATGACTGCGTTTAATAAAATTATTAGTTATTACCAATTATTGCTGTGACAACAATTACGTCGCGGTTAAGCGGTTAACCAGTTAACCGTCGGTCAAAAAATATTTTGAATTTTAACCGATCGGTCAAAAAAAATCATTGACTTTAACCGCGGTTAACCGGTTAAAATTTTTTAGCCGGTTAACTTTGAACAACACTAGTTTCATATATTTAAATGTGAGAAATCACATGACTGCGCATGCTCTACCGGCACCGGCACTAACGGAACTTGTACGGCACCAGCACTACGTTCCATAGCGTTAACATCGCCGGCACTGGAAAGGCACCGGCACTCAAAAATTGTAATTTTTTATCACTATTATACACATACCAATTTTTATTAAACTTGCACTTGTATTATTTATCATAAACATGTTCATTTTCAATATTATTTTATAAATACATATTTATTACAAACAAGTGTCATACAGCGATGGGGAGAGAAGGGGTAGCCGAACAATCAATTTAATTGAACAATGAAATTAGTTTGAAATATAATATGTACAATGTATAATCATATAAAGACATTTAAAATATTGTATACACATAATGTGTAGTACTATCAATCACTAGCAGTTGACTGCAATTGTAATTCCATTCACCGTGTGATGAATGTTGTGATTAGGGTGACCAACCGTCCTCTATTACAGAGGATTGTCCTCTATTTGGACTCTTGTCCTCTGTCTTTTGAAGGGGTCATAGAGGACAAATGAATGTCATTTTTTAAATTTCCCAATAAATTGTTATATTTTTATAAAATTTACTGAAATGTTATATAAATTTAGGATTTACTAGCAAAATACACAATGTTTTAAAGTGATTGTTTAATAATAGATTGATGCCTTATTACAATAGAGGACATGTATTTAATGAATGTTTTATAATTCATTTTTATTGTAACTTATTAAGATATACTATTATGTTTACCTTCAAAAAAATGATTAACAAAATTATATTTGTTAAATTGACTGCATTGTTTTTGCTTACTTTGCCTTAATTTATTTATTACTGTAAAATATTTGTAGGACAGTTTATAAACACATAATTTTAACGTATTTTTCTATCAGATAGATTTGTTAATCTGTTATAAAACTTTTAATACATTTACTACAGTCAATATAGTCCATTACTCTAGATAATTATTGTATTTTATAAATTTAATTCACATAACTACAATTATAAAATATTAGAAAATATATACTTATTATTGATAGGATTTTTAATTTAAACAAAAAATGAGACTAAAATACGTGTCATCTATTTGTCCTCTATAATTATTGTAAATTTAGTCAAAAATCTACTTTTTCTAGAACTAGAGTTGGTCACCCTAGTTGTGATCCAATAAAGGATTGTTATTATTATTATTATTCATTGCTGAATTGTGGTCACAAATATATTTTGTTATCAATACAATGCAATTGAAACATTATAATGTTACATAAAACTTTGAATACACATACAATAATAAAAATAATAGTTAGCATTAAAATAATATATAAATTCAATTGTATTATTTTTAATTAAATATTGTGACACAAAAATTAAACATTAATCAATTTATCCATGTTGAATTTCCCAGTGGGCGGCGCTCTATAGACGATCTGGTTCTGGTCTGCATGCATAGTCACTTTTTTCTGCTTCAATTCATTCAGCATATTAGTAATCACTTTACCCATATATTTAAGCTTGCACAATTTATCAATGCATTCGTTAATATCATCCAACGTAATGACATTAACACCTTCAGGTGATTTAATGGCCGCCTCAATTAACTTTTTATCGTGATCGTATTTGTCCAACACCTGCGATAATCTATCTTTAGTGGCGGCACCGGGCGATCGCGCGTACGGCTCGTTGGCTATGAAGTGCTTGACGTAGTCCTCGAACGCGTCGTTTATTGGTGTCAACGCATTGTTGGCCAGAAAGTAGATAAACGTCGCCATAGAGTAGACTATTGTATCGCTTTCTTCGTTCAACTCGACTATACGTCGGGCCAGACGTCGGATCTGTCGCTCCTTCATCTCAACGGCCGATTCATGTGACTTAATCCGATTGTCCACCTCTTGGTCGGTGACCTTGGTAATCTTTGCTTGTGTCTCGTACAACATGGTCAGGTGCTTTTTGTAACTATGGCCACATTTCAAACAATTTTCAGATGCTTTTTGAGCAAAAAATGTCTGACGCAACCACGATTGTTTTGATTCGTAAGGTGCCAGGTCATTATTACTGTCCTTGTTGAACGCTTTGCATTTCATTAGACTCATACTGCCTATAATATTAGAGTTGTAAAATTGAAGGTAGCATGGTGAATGGCATTCGGTGTATTTGGTGTCGGTAACCCCTTTAATCGTTTGACGTTTGCAGCACTGGTCAGCGCCGCACACAGTCTTGGGTCGATCTAACGGTACGGATATTATGTCGACAACCGGTATGTATAGCTTTTTCTGCAGCTCTTCAATGGATCCCTTATACTCATTGAGTTTAGTTATATGTGTTTCGCATTTCATTACGTTATCCGCGATATTCTTCGTGATGTCGGCCAACGGTTTGGCTAATAGTTGTATAATTTGTTTGGCGTTATTGAGGGATAGGGTATCCATCACTTGATGTGCCGGCAGTTGTGTTATGTAATTGAATAAACGCTTGCATTCCTCTACAGATCTATTTATATTATAAGTAATACAGGTCATTTATTTTTTATACCAAGGTTTCATCTTTATGTACAATCAAGTTGCATAAAATAACTAATTACGAGAATATAATTATATCGCAATCTATAGTTTTTGAATAACCGTTGTTTATATACAACACTTGTACAGGGTGGAGATTAATCAACTATACAAAAGTAAACTCGAATATCTCGAAAGGTATTCGGTCTAGAAATTCAAATGATATATCAAAATACTCATCAACTGCGGGGGTTTTTGTTATGATATGGTCAATATGTTTGACTTCTTATTATAGAAGTAATCTCAAAACTACCAAATTATTGTTATTTTGTCCATAGTCTCGCGAATGGTTCATTTTTACAATAATATAGTCAAGTGACCAAAAATATTTGTATGTTCAAATAATTTACGGACATGGAACTATATATGTGTGAAGTGACAATATTGTCACTTTAGCTGTTCCCAAATGGTCATCAAAATCCGACACGCAAAAGTTTTGAAACAATCTTAAATATCTGAAATATTGAAAAAATCTTCTATGATACAAAAACTACATGCAGTACAAAAATTTTGATTACATATTCTTAAACAGGAGCAAAATTAACTTTATACCTATTTCAGGATTTTGCTTAAAAATAAGTTTGAATTTAACATTATGTCTATGGAAAAAATGATAATATTTTGTTTTATTTGAGATTATTTCTAAAATAGGAGGTCAAACATATTGATCATATCATAACAAAAACTCCCGCAGTTGATGAGTATTTTGATATATCATTTGAATTTCTAGACCGAATACCTTTCGAGATATTCGAGTTTACTTTTGTATAGTTGATTAATCTCCACCCTGTATTTTGCTTAAGATCTTTAGTGGTTATGTGCTGAAAGATTTCTATAAAAGGTTTATTGCTGTGTAATTAATACTCATATTCGTGTGTTACATACAATAATATTTACCATAAAATTTTATTTTGCCTTTGTAAATTTTATTTATTTATACAATGCAAACTTTCCACATGAAATAGGCAAAATCAGAATTAAATTGTTTTTTATATTATTCGTGTGTTACATACAATAATATTTACCATAAAATTTTATTTTGCCTTTGTAAATTTTATTTATTTATACAATGCAAACTTTCCACATGAAATAGGCAAAATCAGAATTAAATTGTTTTTTATATAAATAGTTTTCAACGGAATGGTATGAGCAAGTTCCCCAAAAAAGGTTGCATTGTATTTACATATTGAGCTTTTTATATTTAATTGTAGTTAGGCCGGGAGTTTCACTTGCAAATCTGATACGATTAAATAACAATTTGATAAAAATTTTAACAATTGATCCAGCCAATTTAAAAATATCATCACATTGATTTGTTAAATATATTGGTTGCCATTGGATACCATTGCCAAAGTTATTTCGGGAGTGGACTTCTTCGGGAGAGGTTTACTTCTGGACCACAAGACATACAGACAAATGAATGCCATTGTTTTGTCATTCATTAAATACTCTTTTACATCAAGTCATCAATAAAAAATTTTCGGTTAAATTTGACCACTAAATTGAGTAATTTACCGAGTCTCATATTTGAAATTCAATGATTATAAATAGTTTTCAACGGAATGGTATGAGCAAGTTCCCCAAAAAAGGTTGCATTGTATTTACATATTGAGCTTTTTATATTTAATTGTAGTTAGGCCGGGAGTTTCACTTGCAAATCTGATACGATTCGCAAAAATAGAAGTACACTATATGATATTATCTAGATTAATAAATTTAAAATTAGATCATTGATTAAAGGAATTAAAATTATACTAGAAATAACATATAATACTGTACTTGGTAACCACAAAAACTATTAACAATGAACAAATTTCCACAATAATATCCAATTTTATGGCCACCAGTTTTCTCGATTAGATTTAATAACTATTAAAAAAAAAGTAAATT